TTCCGATCTGCTCTCAACCAGCCAGATGGGAGCTGGATCTGGTCTGGAAACCTCTGTAGTTGTGCTAATGCAGTGGTGTGCTTGAACTTGCATGCTTTGACTGGCCTACCTGGGATTCTGGAGGTATAGTCAGAAATCTTTATGAGACAACCATGCATGATTTGCACTTCAGATCCCAAAGAGATTCGTGCTTCATCTTTGTGCACAGTTTGTGGCTTCTGAACAGCTGAGGCTGCTCCTTACAGCTTTCCCTTCTTTAGCTCCAGAACAGCAGCAGTGCAGAGCCAGCTAACAGAGGGAAACCCTCCAAGGAATACTACAGCAGCCAGGACAATGGTGGCCTCTTCCCCTCCCTCAGCCCACATGCTAAAGGCAGTAGGTCAGCCTGGTCTGGGATCCCAAACAGGCCCCAATGGGAGAAATAGTCTTTCAGCTGCAACTCCAATTAGAGGTGGATCTTGTCCTTGTCCTTTAACACAGTGTGCCTGTGTGTCCTGCAGGGAATAAGACAGGGAGGGTTTAGCAGCTCTAACTCCTATTCCGAAGCAGCTCATTAAACACGAGGCTTATGAGTCATCCTTTTTTGCCGTGACATTGCTGTGTTCTGCCTCTTGGAGCAAGCTTGTGTCAGGCCAGCCTGGAGCATCGGCAGAGCAGTGACAAACCTGTGCTCGAATCTGCCTGCATCCTTGACTGCTTTCACCAGGAGGTAGTTCACAGCCTGTGCAGATGAAGGAGCGGTGTGAAAGGGAACATGGAGAAAGAGATTTTAAACTGAGTCACATAAGCTAGTTTCTAAAACCCAGGCACTCATGCAAGGTACTTGTACATATTTAATTATTTTCTGATTAAATACAACATAAGCATCATTTGTGGATTTATATCTTTGTTCAGTAAGCTGAATAATAAATGTTGATGTCTGCCAGTTATCAGAACTGCAAAACTTCAGTGTTATATTATTCTGTGGCCTGATGATGGATTTTCTTGATGGTTAAGCCATAGATTTTCACATAGCCTGATTTTTCTACCTCTCTCTTTTAAAGGTCAAGGCAGCTATTAAACATATGTGTGGGAGAGGAAAAGACTTTCTGAGTCAACAATAGAAGTAAATAATCCTAGTGCTGGATTATCATGACAATGAGTTTAGCCTCAAAAAGGAACTAGGACAATACACATACAAGGCAAATTTAATAATTCAAAATTCATTTCTTTTACCTATTCATCTCAGAACATCCGGATGAGCAGGAAATTCAAGGCCTGGAGATTGCAGAATAGATTAGTAAACAAAGGAATTTCACACTCTTCATAAGCAATGATTGCAAGGTTGGGTCAGATAAAATGCCAGAACTGGTGCAGGCTATGCAAAACAATGCTAAGACACACTTTCACTACAAATCAATTCAAAATAAGTAACAGAAAACTGCCAGCTACAAATATTTTATTTCTCTAACATAGAGGCAGTAAGGAAAAGTCACCATCCTCAATGAGAAAGAAGAACTACCGATAAACGTAGCAGCAAACACTCAGCTTTTTGATATTGTTAAGATTCTGAACAAAAAGTTGAAACTGTTTCGAGTATTAGCGGCTACAGAGGTAGGCACTCATGCTTCAGTGCTGCAGCATCTGGTTTTGCATGACAGTGATGCTTGACTGTAACACTGATTTGGCTTACTTAGATTACCTTGGGGTATAAATTCTTTGCTGTGAGGAGGTCAGCTATCCCCAAAAATGCAACAAAGGCCCTGGATTTGAATTATAATGTGTTATACCCCAAAGACTTTTTTTTTTGAGTACCTGTCTTACTAGTTTTGGCTGCAGTTTTTCATGGCCTAAGGCTCTTTCCTTCATTTGTGGAGGGAAGTCGCTCTGCTCAAAGTTCTTCTACTACTTTGTTTGAACAGCCAATCTTCAATTGCCAAATCTCTATTTCTGGGACTTGCTGATATTACAGCGGTGGGAATGGCATGCACATTGCTTCCGAAAGTTCTACAAGAGAAGTAGACAGCTTGAAAACAGCTCAAGGAGTCCTACTGTTGAGCAGCAGCAACAGAGATAACAGCGTGAAGCAGTCAAGTGGACTGGGAAGTGAAAATGAGAGTTACGCTTCACAGCAGATGGTATATTTCCTAGTAAGAATCACTGGAGAACAGGGAACCAGCATAATTTTGTGCTTTTCCATCTTTAGTCAGCTTTGGCTACAGTCAGTGAGTACTCACATTAACTCTTACTCACAGTTTGGAACATGTTATGCACTTGTCAGAAAGGCAAACATCTGCATTACTATCAGTAGATAATCAGAATCTCCTTCCAGGCCTAGATCAACTGCTGCATTTAGTATCGACTCCTTTAGAGAAGACAGGACAGGCATTGTACTCAGTTATTGTGAAGATAGCTGCATGACTTTAAGTAGTGTCATTCACTAACCTCTGTCATTTGGACGGGGTGTTACTTTATTGTATTGCATGGTTTTGTTGATTTGTGTTGACTATTTGCACCAGTCAGCTGTTATGTTATTTATATCTGAATACCGTAAATATTATGTTATCCTTGTCATCTTTTTAAACAGAAGATGCAGGCTCCCAAATCTTCCTGCCACATCAAATAGACATGGCTGCTCAAGTGGCTTCTGGGATGGCTTACCTTGAATCTCAGAACTATATCCATCGGGATCTGGCAGCCAGGAATGTTCTTGTTGGTGAACACAGTGTTTACAAAGTGGCAGACTTTGGACTTGCAAGAGTTTTTAAGGTGGGTTGTGAGACGATAAACTGGCTCTACTTAATGCTGGGGAACAGGGTGGAAGAGGTCAACTAAAGGACGAACTGTAGCCTCAGAATTGCTAGATTCAGGCAAAAGGAATGCCCAGGGAGAAAAGGACCTCTAACGTGTTCACTTGTATCTTCTACCTGTGTTACCCCATGTAAGGTTAGAAGCTGGCCTGCGCCTTTATGTCAGTCTGAAGATGGCATCCCGGTGCCTGCTTCCCCCTCAGCCACAAAGGAAAGAGCCTGGCAAGAAATACCCTTTGCTGCACAACCTTTATCCACAACGCTAGTGTCTGCGACATGGAGACAGGTCACAGGAGTGATGGCAAAATTATATTCCTGAGCCTGTAAGGGAAAGCATATAAAAATGTACTGACAGCTATTCTCTCCTTGTTCACTTCCCCACTGCCTCCATGATGCTTGCGAGTGCAGGTAGTAATCATAAAAGGACCTTACTCCTTTCCATGACTAACAACGGAGTTCGTAAAGTGAGCTCTCAGAGCTTTAAATCTGATGCAATTTCAAGTCCTTTGCCATTGCACTGCTTTTTTTCTCTGGCCCTTGAGGACATGGAATGCCAAGTAGTGCTGACCAAGATCACCCTAGGAAAGAGCTGTAGTTTAGAAATGAGATTTCCTACCTCTGAAAATGATTTGATCAGAGTTAGAAAGATTTGATTTGCCATATTTTATGGATTTCAATATGTAATCCACAATTTCTGAGGTCTTATTGTTTTTATTGATTTATGTTCTTGCACTGAGAAGGAAAAACAGAGAAAAAAGCCCTCTGCTTCTACTTTGCTTTTTTCCATTCAAGCAGCAGAAATTGAAGTCCATAACAGAGCTGGATTTATTACGTACTGGAGTATAGAATAATGGCTTGACAGTGGCATCAAGGGACTTTGAAAGTGCTTTTTGCTTAATTTTGATTTTTCTACTTATGCATAAGTTCAGATTGCGCATTTTTTCATACAAAAAAATATATTTTTAAATGAACAATGCTTACAATGGATATTTCTCTTCTGTCCTTACTAGAGAGGGTAATAATTTACAGCTGCTTACATTTCCTGTTAAAACAGAACTTTACTAAAATACTCTGTCATAGAGTCATCTTGGCAGACTTTCTTAGGAATATTCTGTCTCCTAAGCCAAAACACTAACATGTTCACATGCAAAGATCCCGAAGGAGTTGGTGTGAGAAATGAAATCTGTATTTCTGTATGTGTTAATTAGCATAATGAAATAATTTCTTGTTTCTAGAGATGAGTATTTTGGTCAAGATGCCAACTGCATCGGTATGTAGACACAAAACACTAACAACCGTTTTTTTTTTTCAAAACTGTAGGGCATTACAGCTGGGAGACGTACATTCTGTATTAAAAACAATCAAACAAACAAAATCTTGTACACATTTGCCTGGATTTGCATGTGAAAATCCTGGCCAAGGCTTGTATGTGACTGATGTAGACTAGATTGCGTTTAGGAATTAGAGAGAGAATAAATGTTCACAAAGTTTAGATGTCTGTGCTATAAAACTTTAAGGACGTGATTCCACAAATTTGCAAGTAAATAAATTTTCTTTTTATGTGTGTCTTTCATCTTCAATTTACATGAATTAATTGGACGCACTGTAAGCTAATATGTTAATTTGAATCACTTGGAGTTTGTTCTTTGGTCCCTGAAACCTGCTTAAGTGATTGTTATCAAAGTCAATGGCCCTTCAACACTGCAATAAGTCACAGAAGAAAGGTTCCAAAATTCATTAGCTCTTGCTTGCTTCTCTGTTTACTGAAGACCAGATATGGAGCCATTTGGTCTCTAGTGTCAGCAGGATGCTTACACTGCCACTCCTAACAGACTTTTGAAATCTTGCATGCCAGGCCCAGGATTCACAGTAGCAGGTCATAATTAATCACAAGCCACTCCAACACTGCGTGCTCACTTGAAATGATAAATGCTTTAGAAAAGCCTCCAATGAACAGTAGCATTTCTCAACTGTGAAGCTCAATTCAGCAATAGACTTCAGAAAGTGTGTGCTTTAATACCATGAAAGGCAAGTGCTTGGCTAAAAAAGGGTAAGATTAAGCACATGCTTAGCTTAGTCAAGGGCTTAAGTGCTTTGCTGAAGCACATCTAAAATCAGACTTGCTTCGTTTTACCCATGACAGGTAGAAAATGAAAACGTATACCAAGCTAGGCCTGAAACAAAACTCCCAGTGAAATGGACAGCCCCAGAGGCAATCCGCTACAACAAATTCAGCATTAAGTCAGATGTCTGGTCATTTGGAATACTTCTGTTTGAAATAATCACCTATGGGAAGATGCCTTATGCTGGTAAGTGCTTTTACCTAAAGAATGATGTCTAATGTTTTCTTGCTTTAAGAATGACACAAAAAAAAGTTGAATGCCTGTACTACGGGCATGTTAAAAGGTTAAGACTGTAAATACAGAAAGAAGGCTGTTCAGATGAGGTCCATTTAGTGGGTCAGACCTTCTGGCTGACCCAGGCTCCCTGGAAGCCTTCCACAAGCTGTAATTACCAGCCATTCATGCTTCCCCTTGCTGGAGTCAACCTGCATTGCACAGGCACTTAAGCCAACTGGCTATTTCCCTCCAGCACCAGATCAAAGATGCCATTCTTGGAATGTGGAAAAAGGGAAGGTTTTTCTGTTCCCCATCCTACCCTTCTTTTTTTTTTTTTTTAAAATTTATTTTTTTGAGGCTATCTCATGGAAGCACAGATTATTATGTGTGAAGTGCTGCACAGGTACTTCAGGAAGGTGTCTGAAAAATGAATCAGGGTGTTTTTAGTTCCTTCCCTCATATTGCACTATTGTAGTGGAAAATCTTCATAAAGAGAAGGATCACAAGAATTAGGAATAAAATGTCACCAACCACAAAAGTAGATTTAATGAGAGCAGCTATTACTCCTAGCACTGTGAGAAATGCTCAAGGAACTGTGGCTCCAATAACACAAGATATCAGTGAGATGATTGACTGTGACTCATTTTGTGCTGGTGAGGAGAACACAAGGGAAAGACTAAAGCAAAAAAAAGTTATGCTGCATCTGTACAGCCCTGAGGGGTGATGTGTTCACGATAAACTACATTTCACAGGGTCCCAAACTGGTATTTCCTGTAAAAGAAGAAATTGATTTTGCTTTTTGATTCCCACCCTCACCTCCTGTGAAACCATTCTGAAAAAAAAAAAAAAAAAAAAAAAACCAAAGCAAAAAACTCTCAGCTCTTTCTTATATAAATTACAGGTGTGTGCATATGCACATAAATAAACTATTCAAGTATAAATGATACGTAACACCATGATTCTCAGTATTGTCTGAAAATACGTTCAGCATTATCCCTTTGCAAAGGCATAGTTTACCTGTAATTTGCAGTAGAAAATGTCCTTTTGCCATGGCTATTTACTTACTTGGTGTAACTTTCAAGAGTTTGTCCTCAGTGATCAGTTAAGAGAAGAGGTTATGTTGATCCGTGGTGGCAGTGGGTAATGTACAGAGGAAACACCATTCAGAGATCTAGGGAAAAGAAGTAAAGATTATGCAATTCAAGATTTAATTTATAGAGTAGAAAATTGAAAGGGAATGGGACAATAGTCTTAATAGATAAAGGTATAGCAAAGGTAGGGGAATGGTTTCTTCTCCATAAGTCACAGTGACAGAGCAGGCAGGATGCCATTGCATAGGTGCACCAGAGGAAACTTAGGACTGACATTAGGGAAAACTTTCTAAATGTGAGGAAAATTCAGCAGCAGGACAGATTTTCGTGGCACATTTTGGAGTCACAGAGACTAGAGGGCTTTAGGAACAATTTAAGTGAAATACATGTCAGAAAAATTTTGGCAAACCTGGGTGGTGGCGGAAAAGTCTCACACCCAGACAAACCCATTTGCTATGCCTCTCAGGTGGCGCAGTCAGGTTGAGGGGGCTGGGAAATGCTGGAAGTGGTTTTTAACTGCTGGTTTGGGATCCTCCAATGCCTCCTGTGGCCTGGTGACGTTGAAAGGGGCCTGCAGAGGCCAGCCCTGTCCTCAGTGTGCACATGTACCTCATCGGGGGGGCATCCCGTTGCCTCATCTCAGTAAGAGATAGGTACAAGTGGTGTCACTTAGTAGAATCATAGGATCATGGAATCATTTAGGTTGGAAAAGACCTTTAAGATCATCCAGTCCAACCATTAACCTAACACTACCACACCCACCACTAAATCAATTTAAGGGTAGAGTAATAATTAATTTCATGTTTCCTGACTTGGTGGCTGGGTTATTTTTTAATGAAAGTAAAACTAGGAATCATTAAGGTTGGAAGGGACCTCTAAGATCATCAGTCCAATGGTCAACCCAACACCACCATGCCCACTAAACCATGTCCCAAAGTGCCACGTCTACATGTTTTTTGAGCACCTCCAGGGATGGTGACTCCACCACCTCTCTGGGCAGCCTGTTCCAATGCTTGACCACTGTTCCAGTAAAGAAATTTTTCCTAATATCCAACCTAAACCTCCCCTGGTGCAGCTTGAGGCCATTTCCTCTCGTCCTATTGCTAGTTACTTGGGAGAAGAGACCAACACCCACCTCACTACAACCTCCTTTCAGTACACCCCAAGTGGTCTGACAAACTCCTTTCGGCTTGCAGGTATGTCAGGACACCAGGTGATCCAGATGCTGGACAAGGGGTACAGACTTCCTCAGCCGGAGGCCTGCCCGGTGCCGCTCTACCAACTGATGCTGCAGTGCTGGAGCGCGGAGGCGGGCAGGCGGCCCGCCTTCAAGGCCCTCTGCGGGCAGCTGGAGCGCTACTTGGAGACTGACTCCTATTCCTACACCCACACCCAGGCTGTGGTGAAATGAACCCTCAGGCGGGGGCTGAGGGACAGGCACCAATGAACGTGGCTGAAGGGGGGGCTGTGAAATCAGCCTGACCTCAGATGTGGAGGTTATTAGGGGATGCTGAGGAATTGTACGTTTTCATGCCCGTGCTGATACCCAAAGACACTTAAAATTTTTGCTGCTGGCAAGTGTTTTGCACGTCTAAACATCAGGAAGCTGGAAGTGTGGGGGCTTCTAAAAAACAGAGAGTCTTCTATTTATTTTTTAAATAACGGATTGCAAGAGTGAACAAATGAAAAGAGTATTGTTCAATAACCATTGTAGCATTTTGTAATTTCCTTATTGAATAATTATTTGCTGTTCCTTAGACTTTTGATTCCTACCATGTTGTTCTCATGAAGGAATGTGATGGCTCTATACAGCAGGATCTGTGCTTCCAGAGTCCTCTCATTGTAAAAAAAAAAAAAATGTTGTGACTGTGATGATGGCAGAATCCAGATTAATTGCCTTGCTTAGACTTGAAGTACATATGCTTTTGCTATATCATAAAATAAAACAGATGTTCATGGGAGAAAAGGAGTTATTTTGTTTTGTGGATGCAAAGAGTGATCTTTCTTAGTTTGTCTACCATTCCTCTTTTACAAGAATAAACACAATTATTATCAGATTTTTGAAGATGTTTGTTCTTAATTTTGTTAAATAGTGCCACGGAACCAATCAGTTATTGCCCATTGACATGTAAGGATTTGTTTTATAGTTCTTCATTTTAAGAATATTGGAGGAAAAGATACTTTAACATGAAATCAAGACCTCCTTAGCCTTTTTGAGCGACACCTGCCTCCCACCCCGTTCTGCTGCCCAAATCACATACCCTCTCCAACAGGACAAGGCCCAGGGAAGGTCTAGGTGTTTTGCAGAGGAACTATCAATCTATGCTTCTATCTTCTCCAAATGTAACTTTAATATAGGAGATTTAAATAATAGATGATTCATTTTATTTTGTTCCATGGGGAAATGGAGCCCAGGTGCTTCTGCTAGCAGTCCTTACAGCTACAGATTTTAGATTTTTCTTCCAGTTTTTCTGATTAACTACAATATTGGTTCTGCTACAATCTGATATAACTGTGAAAGTTTTATGTTCTCAATTGTGAGGCTTGGAGAACCAAGTTTCAATTATTTACTTATGATTCATCAGTTAATTATTTAACAACATAATCCAGGAATTAAGAGCTGTACTGTGTTAACATAGTGTGAGCTCAGTATAAATGTGCTACCATTTTCCTCTAATATCAAAAAAGTGTATAAATAAATGAAAAGATTCATTAGTTTAAAGGCTGGGTGGCTTTTATTGCATCTTTTTCATTTTCTTCTCTTTATACTTCAAATCCATTCATCTCAGTGCCTTGCTTCTAATTTTTAATTTCCTTTTCCCCTCCTCTACTTTTGGAAGGCAGCACACCTCTTTTTTTCTTTAATACACATCTCTTATGTACTCGTTATTCAAAACTCCTTTCCTTATTTATTGTTTTTCTCTTTCTATCTTACACTCAGAGTCTTTCTAGCATTCTGTCTCTGTTCACCTTCATTTTCTGTGCAGTGTTTCTCCCTACTAACCCTCTTTATACTAATTACATTTGTAAAACACAATACAGCGATAATTAATTACCTGTCATAGCATCCATGCAATTTTGGAAAGTAATCATCCACTCTGAAAGAAGACGATGTTAAATGGCTTTGCCAAACCCATCCTGATAAGAATTGGCATGGAAGGAACTGGGAGACTCCCAGGCAAAGTCTGGTGCTGTAATACCATCCCTGTTTATTTTGAGACTTGTGCTAGTTACTGGCTCATGGCCCCAACAAGACGTTATTTATGATTATCAAACCTCCATCAATCCATGTGCCTCTCATCTGGCTAGGAGCTGTCTTTTACACTGTTAAGCTATGCGGTTAGCAAATCCCACAGAGTAGGTTTATGCAATAAGAATAGGAATGCTGTTATTCAGAAAGATCTCTGCGTCACACTTGCAACGTTGATGTTCAAACACTATTTCTAAGATGATTTTTCAGACTGAAAACATTAAGAATGTTGTGAATAAATGTTGAGTTTGCCCAACTCAAAAAAAGTTTTGATAAAAGAAATGCAATCTTAAAAAGCACAGATGTGTGCAGTTCACAGGGGTCTATGTAATTTCCGCCCCCGCCCCCCACACCAAAGATGAGTTGCCAGGAAAAAAAAAAAAATTGACAGCAGAGAAATAGAAAAGTTTTCAGAATTCCAGATTATACCAACTGCTCCAAGCCTCTCTGTGCTGGCCTCTGCCCCCAGGTGGAAGTCAGCAGGATCTTGGACTCCACCGAAGTGACGCAAGTGATTTTGGAGAAAGCACACTTGTATAATAAATATCTTCCTAAAACAACATATAGGGAATAGAAAGTTTGTTCATCCCGCTAAGCTGGATGTCTTGTCTCCTTAATTTCTCCTATAGTCAAAGGAGAGAGAAAGGCTCCTTGAGATGGTGAATCAGTGCACCAAAATGGCATTTCTCCTCTAAGCACCCCTGACAGTCTTTCTGTTTGCTGCTGTAAAGGTACCCAGGAGAGATGAGACTCTATGCTGAGAGGTGTGGGTAATAAACCATATGTTGTAAAATGAAATTAGCTGTTTCAAGCTCTCTTTACCAAGTGTGGCCTCATGAACCACCTTTGGTTGAAAGGGGCAGAAGCTGCAAGTGAGCTGCAACCTGCTGAGCTGCGTGAGGAGCGGGCACATGCATGTGATGGCCTCCAGGTGATGCAGCCTGGCACGCTGGGCTGCTGCCAGCAGGCATGTTCCCCTGCTGCTGCTCTATCCTGCCGTTTTGTCTCTTGTGCCTTCTCTTTGCACGCTTGTACAGCCGCAGCTAGTTAATGGAGTTTGGATGTGCCAGCTGCCCCTAGTATCTGCTGGCCCAGGGTGGGAGAGAAGCAGCGGCACTGGCTGAAAGCAGGAGGCAGATTCACTTAGGTGCGTCTCATTCTAGGCACTGCATCAAATAAATTAGTCTACTCATCTTCATCTTTGAGGCACAACGTGCATATTTGGCCTCCCCAAGGTGATGTACTGTAGGTGACGAGGTGCAGTCAGCCTTTGTCTTCCCTGCCTGAACACCATCTCCACCCCACTGGTGTGTGTTCTGCGACCAGTGCACCCTCTTTCTTAGAAGAAGTGGAAAGCAAGGAAAGGCAGGAAGGTGATGGGCCAGGAGATTCATCTTTCTCTTGCACTGAGTTGCTCTGAGAGAGTTTGATGCCCGGTAGAGCCCCTTTGCCACTATCAACAATTCAGCTGAGGCCAAGCTTGGGAACCACAGATGCTGCTATGAAAGCCAGTGGTTCCTTGTTCTGGCTTAAATCCATGCGCTTGCACTTCCTTATTTTGCCTGTCCCAAAACTGCTGTTATACCAGTGAAATGCTGCCACTCTCATTTGAGCTCTAAATGTGGGTCTCTTTTTCCCTGGACTGGCAGGGGAACAAAGGAGAGAAAAATCAGCAATGCAATGGGATCAGCAAAGCTCTGGAAATAGAGAGTGATGTGGAAAAGTAATTATTTGTTCTCAGCTCTTTCTCTCCATATTTTTACAGTCAAATGGATCCATTACTGAGAAAGACTGGAGGAAGAAGGGGGCAAAGGGTGATAAACCTTCACAGAGTTCAATTTGCTTACAGGCAATGCAACAGGCAAAACTATATCTTTCCAAGTCCAATTCCATTTTATAATAATTTTATTTATATGACAGATAATAATTATTGTCAAAGTCGTTGCTATGACTTGATTTAAATTAAACATCAAGGTTATCATTTCCAGTTATAGTGCACAGCGAGATGGGTTTAACTTATCTCACTCTATTCTTGAGACCTTTTATGTTCAAGGTTCTGCTAGAGCTATCTATTGCACTTGTTTTTACCTGATGGATCATGGAGGGAAAATAATGGATTCTGTTATGAGAAACAGTAATAGATTTTTTTGAACTGACATAAATTTCTATGTTTAGATAGAATAACAGGATCAGGAAGAGATAAGTTGAATTTTCTACAATAGACTGGTCCTTGTGAAATTCACTTCACATAAATTGTCCTGAGATGTCTTTTATGTAATGTTTTATTTATGTAATTCAGTTATTCTTTGAGAGCTAAATCATTTTATGTGGTCTTACAAAAGCTAACTTAAAAATTCCCAACTAAAAAGAAAGAACCTCCATTTTTCTTAAACTCTGCATTCCTTAGGCAGTTATGGAGCAATGCAATTATTTTGAACTGTAAGTATTAGGGAGTCCCTAGTGCTTATTTTTGACTCTTATTGGAGAACCTTTGCTCTCCTAATCTGCATTCAAGAACATACGCAGGGATACTAAAAGTGTGATAGGGCAACAGGGAACCTTCTATCACTTGTATTGCTTGCTTCTTTTTGTCCATTGTATCTTGTACTTGCTTTCTGAATGACTTGACTACAAGCAGCAACTTTCTTTGTGTGGATTTGTAATTTAGAGCATGCAAGGAACTGAACCAGCAGAGTGCATTATTTTATTGTGGTTCAGACTCAACAAACTATCAGTGCATAGAAATGGAGCACATGACTCATTCAAGTGATTGCTCCTTATGCTCTCCTACATGCTTCTGTTTCATTCTTTTAAAAAGTGCTGTAGTATCATGTCCACTCAGTGCTCCCATGGTCACTGCGACTTGCTGGTCATCTATTTGTAGTGTATGGATCTTGGAGCAGGTAAAAATGCTGCGCGTAAGAGTTGTGCCACTGTGCTCAAAGAGATACAGATGTGTGGTATGTTTTTATGGAAAGCTCTGTGGCTTCCATTCTGTTCCATCACCATCTGGGCCAGATGTGTTCTCCAGTGTGTGTCAGACCCCCGCCTCAGTCACCTGCTGGAAAACTTTGCCTGAAAGAACTCTGTGTACGCTCAAACAAAATACTGAACTGGGATATATGAAAAAGACTTAATTCTATCCACACTTACTATTAGCA